ATCATAAAAGAAACGCTTTTAAATTTAAACATTAAAAAATAAATTTAAACAATGTTTTGAATCTTATATATAAAGTACAATACATGTGTGTGTCTTTGTGCGTCTGTGTGTGTGTTAAAGCAACTCCTCCGTTCCCAATGGTCCGATTTCAATGATTCATAGCTCATTCAAAAGCCCTAGAAAAGTTAAGCGCATGAAAGGATTTTGGTTGAAGTCAGATTCAGTGTTAGACGATAATATATATTTTTACATATATATCAATACATTATACTAGCCAATATTGTTGCTTTTATGGTTCTAGAGAAGTAAATAGTATTTTAGTTTTGTATCAAAAATTAGAGTGTTTTGTTTTTATAAACTAGCTTAAAAGCCGTCCCTAATCTGAATTTTAAAAGCCTCAACTCTGCTTTACATTAATTTACACGGTAAAGGTCCAATATATGTACCATATATAATATACTTCTAGGCAATCTCACTCCTCAAGTTTAACTAGTTTGCATATTGCTTTAAAAAAATTACTCACTGGGGTAGATTGTTCTAGTTACACGTGCCATGTTTTTAATGGATGTCAGTTATCAGTTATCTCCTGTTAATTCCCCTCTCCAAGTTCTCCACTGCATTAACCAGGTAAAATGATGAGATATTCTCACTAATCAAGTAGTGCTCTTAAATTCATAAAAACAATATAGTTTAAGAGACTTTTTGCTGGGAAACGATTTTTGATATTAAAAAAACCCGGCGCAACATCAATCTAAGTCAAAGGTCAAGTAAACAACCTTTGCAGGAAAACGTTCACTGTAAAACAATTGGAGTTATCACCTGTTGAAACATCGTAAAAATGAGAAAATTAAAATCGAATGAATAAAATTTGTAATATGATTGCCGAAATTTCCAATAATCCAGAGTATTTTTTAATTGAGAAGAAAGGCAATAAAGTCACTAATTCACAATGGATGTGGAAGAATTAGAAATGAGAAAGTTTCTCAAGGAGTAAGAACGAAAGAAGACCAATTAGGAGGACTGGAGAAAGCGATTGACATTGTATTTATTCTTTTGAAGTTTAAAGTTGACATTATGGCGCTGGAAGGCAGTTCCACAAGCTAGAATAGCGAGAAAATATTCTGTTAGCATAGAACTTACGGTTACATCTAGCCAGCTCAACTGTAAATTTATGAGACCCTGTTGCCAGTCTAGTACAGTGCTTAAATACAAAAAGTCAAGTTACCAAGACGAAGATCTTATCAGAACAGTTGTCATGAAAGTATTTATAGAAAAGATACAGGGAAAAGGACTGAAGCTTAGACGTCAGATCAGGACCAATAATATTGCTGATTCTTCTTTGGATATTATTAAGGACCTCTAGATATATAGCGGAATCGCTAGAGGATATATGCCAGCAATATACTAAGCTTGGACGAATGGTAGACTTATAGATATGGAAAATAGATTGAAGAGAAGAAAATGATCTACTGAATCAACCTAGTGAGCCAACTTTGCTGATCTAACAATGGATTCAATATAGATTTTTCCACTTCATGTCAGCTGAGAACGTTCACGAGAAAATCCCACTCCTGAAGTTTAGCATCAGACATTCTGATGGAAGCAAAAGAAGGGTCCCTCAGATTATTAATAAAGAGCAGTTTAGTTTTGGAAGCGTTAAAATTAACAAGCCATTCTTTGGCCCAGTTAACAACTGACTGTATATCGTTTTTGACATCAGGCGCCAATTTGGCTTTATCGAACAGATCAGACTTAGTATTATAGTGGGTCAGCCAATCTGTATTGGTTATAAATACAAATAAAATTGACCCTCTACTATTTTTACGATATCAAATGTCACAAATATAACAAATATAACAACAACAAAAGAAATAATCAAGTAGAAGAATTTGTTCAACAATAAATATTTTTTCATAAAATTTTGTGGCGTCAATTCGCGGTCAAAATTTGGGTCGGTACCTTCGGACGTAGTTGACAACAGCTAATTAATATTTTTCAACCATGTGCCTCTATGTGTTTAACTTGCACAAATTTGAGATTCAAAACAAATGTAGGAATCTGATTCTATAGTATTGAGACATGAGTAAATGCTTGTGTCATCAGCATAGATACCAAGTTGAGAGCTGATGCTATCAAGATTATCGTTAATGAACATTTAAACCAAAGTAGAACCAAGGATATAGCCTTGGAGAACACCGACATTAACGCAAAATGATCTAGAAGAGTGGCTGTTCGGGATAACTTTCACTTCACAATTAAATAAGACCGGATAAGATCGAAAATTTCGCACTGAGCGTCGTAACTTTTTAACTCGTGAAAAAGAAATGGATCCCAAAACCTGTCGAAGTTTTTCGAGATATCCAAAGCAGCAGTCGAAGCTCCACCATTCTTATCTTTCGGCAGTTATCCTCAGTACATCACCAGTTGACCTAGACATACAAAAGGCTTATTGCTTATCTGAAAGAAGTTCCTGTGATGTGAATCAAAGGACCTCTCATAGTTTCCCAAAAAGCGGTAAAATGTTTATATTTGGAAGGTCGTACGGTTCAACTGAATGCTTAAAAATTGGCACTACAGATGGAGATTTACAGCATGCAGGAAAACAAATGGCAGTGAGGCATTTATTACACAGTTTAAAGAGAACGAGATCCAGTTTGGGAGCACACTTCGTAATTAATATTACAGGGATACCATCAAGTCCTTATGGTTTATGGGGATCCAGATTATGGATGATAGGAGGGGTTATATGCATATCACTCAACAGACTCATTTCTACGTGTAATGTTCGGCAGGGGTACTCAAGATCAGTCAAGAGCAGAGGTAAAGGAGAATTTATGGGTAAAGCATTCAGCTTTATTAGAGGAAGATTGTAACAATCCCAAATTTATTGGAGAGTAGAAAAAAGAAAACTTGATCTTATTTAAAATACTGTTACAGAGCCGCCAGTAAACACAATTGTTTAAACTGTTGGATGCAGTACGGTGTCTCATTCTCTCAACAAATAGAGACTTAGCTCTTTCGATGACAAGTATATACTTATTACGTACCGCCATGAATAGGGTTCTGTTATGATGGAACCATCTCGCTTATATAGCCGGAAACTGTTGTTCCTGAGGGCTATAGCGGCAGAACATTATGGAATGAAACATGGAGAAGACTGCGGTTTCAAGTGGAATTTTCGAGAAGGAATGAAAGCATCTGTACAGTCTTTGACCCGAGGAATTCTCTGAGGCGCAATTCTCAATATCGATTTTAAAAAGTCAGTCCAAGGTGCCTCTCGGAGAAAGTCAAGGACTGAATGCCAATCAGCATGCTGGCAACAGATGGAGGTTTTATGAATAGGAGATTCCTGGCTGATAATTGAAACGAGATGTCAATAGGTACTACAGATTGATCCTAGTTGCCAAGGAGACCAGTGTTGCGAAGCCCGGCAAATGCTAGGGCAGAAGACAAGAAACAAATCAAGTAAGGAAGGTTGTCGCATAGATTTGCTAGGGAGTCGAAATCCACAATTTGATCGTAAAAATGCCCTATGTAATAGGGCCCTTTTATAACAATACGTTTTTTTTTTTTAGACATTTTTTATCTTTATACATTTTTTTTATAGAAACACATATTTAAGCAAATGATCTGTTTATAATAAACAGTATGGACAACATTTAACGGCCTAAATGCCCGAGAAATGTATTACAAACAGAGCATTTACTTAAATATTTGTATCTATAAAATACGTAGAAACATAAAAAAATATCCAAAAATAAGTGTTGGACTTTATCCATTTCATAATGTTTGATGTCATTTGTTTACATTTGGATACGCATCGAGCAGATATGAATGCATGAGAGAAAATCATGGAGAATTGTAGTTTTAAAACAGTAAAATCCACCTGGCTACCCGAAACGCTCCTCTATGACTCAATCGGTAAAAGCACATCAGACTATATGACGGTTCCGTATATGCTACAGGTCCGATTCCTGTCGGAGGAAGCATATTTTCTATGACAATTTCTCGGACATTCTGGCCTGAAAATGTTGTTAAAACTGTTTATTATAAACAGTCATTTACTTAAATAATTGTATCTATAAAAAGAATGTATAAAAAATGTCTTAAAATAATTGTCGGAATCGTCCATTTCATAATAAGTTTTTTTCTTTTTCATGTCCTGTCCCTTCACTTCGTCGGGAATTATATCTCTCCGCAACTTCCTATCCTTTGTAGCTCTTAGTAATTGTTCTCATTTGAAGATCCCTCCCACACCCCTTCCGCCATCTATTCACCTTATATCAAACTTAATAAATTTATCTGTTTTAGGTGACCAACCGTCCTGGAAAACGTAAAGACTTTGATAAAATTTAATCGTTGTTTTTATTTAGCAGGATATCAACCTCTATGTATTATTTAATCCCCAAATATAAATATTTTGTATACATTACCTTTTTCTTTTAGGAAATAGTAACGATTTTATTAATATACGTCTTTCTAATTAACCCATAAATGGTCGGAGATGAGTTGGATTTATATCTTTCCCAGGAGTATTTGCGCATGAGTAAATATAAAAAACCCGACTGAAATTGGAACTCGGCTCTCCGATTCACAATTCCGAGCCATTATCTATTATACCATACGCACATCCAAATTAAACACAGCGGTGTTTACTCATTCCCCCACGAGAATGAGATGTGACACAAGGTCGGATTAATGTGGGGAGCCGAGCGCGTACACCCTGGCAGGGACAAAAATTGCCCTCAGCCCCCGCAACCGTCGGTTGCGCGGGCCTCGGTGCGAGCACCGATCCCTCCCTCTTGTGCAATGGGAGGGCGCGGCCTCGGGCAGCTGTTCCTCAGGTCTGGGCACCTCTTCATTATAATTTTCTTCAGTTGCCCCTCTGTCCTTTGACAGAGAAGCCCCTGAGCGGACTCTGTCCAAGGACAGAGACGCAACTGAGAGATGATAAGTAAATGTGTACCTACTCAAAAGAGTAAGGTATACGCAAATTAACCACAGCTGGTATTCCCAAGCGGAAACCCATCTAGGTACTAACCTGCCTGACATTGCTTAACTTTAGTGATCGTACGGGAACAAATGTTTCAACGCTATATGGCCATAAGACACCCTGCTGATGTTTTCTGCGAAGTAACCTCGAAGTTGCAAATTCTTCATTCTTTGTTCTAAATTCCTCATCATGTGACTGGAATATTACTTTGCAACGTTACTTTGACAGAGAAGGTATAATGAATCTCAAGAAATTATTAAAACTTACATTCGTCATCTAAATTATACGAAAATAAATTGTCTAGCTTTTTCGCATGTTGTTAAATGGTTGTAAATTGATTTTGATGTTATGTGACCAGTACTGCGTCTTTCAACTTCATAGCTACGCAATGTTTGAGATGTATGGTCAGTTCGGAATCGGGAAAATAGTGTATTGTTTCATTAACAATATGCCCCAACAAAAATACAACGTATTTGTAACGTTAGTAAAACTGTTAGTTGGGTTGTTGGCTTGACACATACATCAAAGCGTTAAAATACTAAATACTTTTCGATTCAGTATCTGTCTATATTTCTGAGATGAGGTATCATGTACACTATTTACATTATTCGGACTATTGTCTTTCATCTTTGTTGCCATATCTATCACAACGTTCCGGCCTTTGCCATATTTATCACAATATTTTCGGCGCGGTGAGGTTCAAGTTCTAAGATGATCTTTGAATAATTGTTGTTTTACGGCATAACACTATGACGGATTGTTTATATTAAACATCTATTTTACTTATACCGAAAAGATCTATATACTGTTGGCTTCTAATCCTTTTAAAGAAAGCAGTTACCTATATTATGATGACTGGTTTTAAATGCTATTGATTATGGACGCGGATAGTGGGTATAGCGTAGTGAGTTCAAATCTATCTGAAGACATTATATTCACTTTAGCACAGATATAATTTAGAAAATATAAATAACTGTATTTTCCGTCTGTTAATATTTAATAGCAGAGCAATTTCGGTTGTTAAACAGTCTAGAAGTATAACTATTCTTTTATTTACGGATTATCAATATTTTGCAGCCAGAAAGAATTTAAATTGTAAGATTAAAAAAAAAGATTAATTAAAATTTAAATAAAAAAAAAAAATAAATTAAAAAAGCATAATTAAAAAAAATAAAGCCAGAAAGAATTTAAATCGTAAGATTATTTGTGGGGTGAATTTAATGATAATCTGGTGATACAAGACTAACTAATTAACTCAGAGCTGGGGAGAGACGGGGTGGATTCATATCTTTCCCATGGTTATTTGCGCGTAAGTGAATATAACCAACACAACTGGGACTAGAACTCGGATCTCTGATACACAATTCCGAGCCATTATCCATTAGACGGCACGCAAGTTTACAGCAGCTGTTATTTTCAAGCGGTCACCCATCTCGATATTGAAGTTGCTTAATTTCGGGGATCGTACGGGAACCAATATTTCAACGCTATTCGGCCATAAGCCGAACCTAAAATAGATTAGTTGTGAGGCTGGTGACGTCATGAATGGTGTAAAATTGCGGCACTATACTCCACATGAGGGTTAAAGGTTTACATCAATAGTAAAACTTATTGAATACTAATTAAAAACGTAGCGAGTACATATATTCACCAAAGAATAAACAATGGTTCCTTCAGTAGCAAGGTATGATTTATGATAACGTATTTTGCGAATGTTGCATTGATAAAACCCAATATAATCCCAAACTTTATAACTAGGTAGGCGTTAATTCATTTATTGTGCTTCATTTGCGTCTGCCATATGTTCAAAGACGAAGATGGGCTGGAAAAAAGCATTGTGGAGTGTCTCGAAGAGAATTAGGGTCCCATATTACCTGAAGCCACCTGCTGTTGGAATTCCATTTCCCGTAATTGTAATATCATTAAGCTGTTTATTCAGGGAAGTGTGTTTTAAAGAGGTTTATGACGCCATATCGTCGACGTGTCTATGTTTATATAGGAACCCATTATATTAACGAGCAAAAAACCGTTTCTACTCTGCCTGTGAACATTGCTGTAAGACATTAGATATTGTGATATAAATGTACCTAAGTACATATGCACAAACACAGACGGACCGGCAGATCGTTTCCAGTCAATCGCGTCTTTCTTAACATAACGTGAAAGAAGTCGCTTTATACATAAAATATTGTAGAGACAAAGCTTGGCGTTCAAACAATTTATTGTTCATTTTCTTCGTTTCTTCTTTTTCTTTTAATATTTCTTCATTTTTTTCTTCATCTTCTTTCTTTCTTAGTTTTCTTCTTAATTTTCCTCTTTTTCTTCTTTTTCCCTTTTTCTCTTTCTTCTTTTCCTCTTCTTTTTCTCTTCTTTTTCTTTTCTTTTTCTTCATCTTTTTTCTTCTTTGTTTTCTTTTTCTTCTACTTCTTTTTTCTTCTTCTTTTTCTTCCCCTTCTTCATTTTCTTCTTTTTTTCTTCATCTTCTTTTGCTCCTTTTCTTCTTTTGCTCTTTTTCTTCTACTTATTTTCCTTCTTTTTCTTCTTTTTTCTTCTTCTTCTTTTCCTCCTCCTTCTTTTTCTCGTCTTTTTCTTCATTTTCTTTTCTTCTTTTTTTCCTCTTTTCTTCCTCTTTGTTTTCTTCCTTTTTTCTTTTTCTTCTTTTTCTTCTTGTTCCTCCTCTTCTTCTTCTTCGTTTTCTTATTCACCTCATTCTTCTCTTTTATTGAGATCTCACACAATGACACACACACGCAAACAAATCCAATATATATCATATTTTGAATATATCTGTAAACACCGAAGTAGGTAGATATACCGCTTCTACGAGGACAGATCAAAAAGTATCGTGACTTTTGTATTATAACTGAGTTAAAGTACACACAGTGAAGCCGCTTGGCACAGATTGACCTTGACCTCTCTCGCACATGCACATTAAATTAGAACGTCTTTGCTCAATTGTTTATATCAGTGCATGGTATGAAAGCATGTAGAGTGTCGTCGTTTTATCACACTACAAATTTTCCATAAATGAGCACGGATTGTCCATCAGTTTTTGGCCTAGACAACATTCCCCAGGCTCAACAATTCCAAAAAAAAGATTCCAAAACGTCGACTAAATCCAAGAAAATATGACGAGGTAGCTGGTCGCTATCCCAAAAAAAGGAGTTCCAGGGATGCTTCTATGAATTGAAACGACGCTGGATAAACTGTATGGTTTAAGATGGGCACTATTCCAAGAGGATTAAATGCTGAATTGATATGTTGTAATTTTCTTTTTATAGCCCCAGGCCTGATACTTTTTTATAAGAAAAAATATCAAGTTTTGCATAAGGACAACTTTGATTTCCAGGCCCCATGAATAGCTAATAATTCGTATTTTTGTGTTTATGATATTATCAAAACTTTAGCTTGAGCTGACCTTCTGACCTTGGGTAATATTTAATCTTTTCCTATGGCATATTTTTGATACTGCAATCTGAATGCTTCGAAATCTTTTCTGTGCCCAACTCCTCACTTCCATCTGGTTAAGTAGAAAATAAAATGAAATCATTTTCCTTTATCTCACCAGTTCACTCTAATTGTTCTCAAGCCAACCTTTCTCATGTTTCCGTGTTTTACTTTTCTTTATAAGGCATTTTTCACGTCAAGCCTTTGAGTTTTTATTCTATTTTATTTTTTTTGTTCACTGAGAATTAGTATTATTATTAACACTTTGAAGTTTAACTTCCCATTCCCTTTTTTGTTTTCATTTATTTAACACTTTAGCAGCGACGTGTTCAGGCTTATACGATATTATTGTGGCAAGTTATGATTGAAAAAAATAACTATTAAAATATTCGTTCTCTCAAAAAGTCTAGTTTCTAAAGTTTTTATCATCCTCATTTTTAAAGCTCCTTTTCTTTCTTTTCTTAAATCTGTTTTGAGTTTGCCAAAGTTGATCTTTTAAATCCTTTTAAAACCAGTATGTATGGATAGCTTCTTAGACTTGTCTTTTCAGTTTTATTTAAAGATCACTTGAAGAAATGTGAATGATTTTTTATTTGCAATCTCTAACACTAGGACTAAAAGCACTCTCTAGATTTATCTCTTAGAATACAAAAAATATACTTTATTTTGGGTGGGAGTAGGCCCTAGGGGTTCGCATTTTCAAGAGATGTCTTAGTTACAAACTAAGAGAAGACTCAATAAGAGAAGTTGAGTGATATATTTGTGTCTGGTTAGTTAGTTTTTAATTATAAAAATTAAAAACTGGTAAAACTCAACTCGATACTCCTACCATAAAAAAATTAAACCAGTATGCTTGCTAAAAAATCAACATATCTCTCCACACCCCAGTTCCCATCTAATTGAGTTTTTAAAATAATCTTAAATTCATCTTTATTTTTATTTATTATGCGTACTAGTTTTTATTGGTTATACTTGTGAAATCCACCAAAAAGAAATAAAAAATAAATCAAGTATTACTGTATTACATAAGGACAAGGTTGATTTCCAGGCCTCATGAACAGCTAATTCGTATTTTGGTGTTTATGATTTTATCAAAATTTTAGCTAGAGCAGACCTTCTGACTTTGAATAATATTTAATCTTTTATGGCATATTTGTTATATTGCAATCTGAATGCTTCGAAATCTGTTCTTTGTCCAACTCCTCACTTCCATCTTGTTAAGTAGAAAATAAAATGAAATGGTTTTCCTTTATCTCACCAGTTCACCCTCATTGTTCTCAAGCCAACCTTTCTCTTGTTTCCGTGTTTTACTTATCCTTATAAGGCCTTTTTCACGTCAAGTCTTCGAGTTTTTATTTTATTTTATTTTTTTGTTCACTGAGAATTAATATTATTATTAACATTTCCAAGTTTAAATTCCCATTTCCCTTTTTTTGTTTCCATTTATTTAACGTGTTCAGGCCTATACGATATTATTATGGCAAATCATGATTGAAAAACATATCCATATGGAGTTAAATATTCCTTCTCTTAAAAACTAAAGTATTAAAATTTTTATCACAATGGTGTATTATTTTTAATTGTAGTCTGTTAATCAATCTACACAATTTCAGTTTTTATCACGCAATTGAGCCGGTAACCAAGAAAAATGATATTAGACGAATA